AACTCCGCTGATACCCCTTTTATTAAAGCCCAGCTGGCGGCAAATAGAAATGAAATCAACTGTGACAGCTCATTAGTGATATATACACCCTCTGTTTGGGCATGGGTCTAGTCCAGTTCCCAAGAAACTAGTAACTACATCATTTTTACCACTGTAAGTTGAAAGTCAGCAAGTAACTGTTAATACAGCAGGTACCCTTGTGATGGCGAGGGGACCGAGAGACTTTCACACAGAAAAATTCCACTTGATTACCAAATAGCGCTCGCTTGGTAAAATTGCTTTCACCTCCATTTAGGTGCATCAAATGAAGATGCCTCTTCAGTGTATGCTGGGGAATATGTTGCAAGCCTAATGGTGTCTCTATAGAATATTTTCCTTGCAGACTAGACCCAAAGTTTCCATTGCTTAATTTTAATGTATTTTATTCCTGGTTCATCTCCTGATGCTGTATATGGAATTGAAAAAGAACCTTAACAGAATTTTTTTTTATTTAAATTTTATGACAAAACTTAAAACTATTTAAATATCATCTCTGATTGTGTTCCTCTAAATCCCCCCTTATGCTGTAAAGCCTCCCATATTTGTACACTCAGGAATCAACAAAATTACCAGTTTGATGTGCAGACAACGATGGAAGAGATGGAGTGAGAAGTTTCACCCTCGCCCTCTTTTAAGTTTGCGGAGTCAGTGGCAGAGCGTTTTGTTCCTGGCTATGCCGGTGCAAAATCAAAGTAGCATGATGGACTCAAATAACTCTGGCTCCAGCTTATCATTAACTTCAAGGGATTTACTCCACACTTTAATCAGTCACCGAATACATAATCTGACCCGCGAAAAGGCACCAAGTGTAAATCAGTGCCTGATCTGGGCCTGAGCCAGTGCTGGTGGGAGAAGTGCTTTCAAGAGGTTTGATAAAAGATATTTCTTAGAAAATGAACACCCCTACAGAAAGAGGCCTTATCAAATGTGGAATGAGTATGGTCTATCAAACATTTGCTTTCACCTTCTTCTGATCCCCTGTAAAGTAAAAGCTCTGGATGATGCAGCGAGGGAGGGAGCTTGGGCCTCTTACGTGCAAGGTTACGGCATTTGGAGGCTCCAGGTCTTGTGTCACCCCCGTGTTCTGTGGGTGGAGAAGGTGATGCTGGAAATACTCCTCGGCTCAGTGGGATTCTTTGAGAAGGAGAGAGAAAATTAGTCTTTTATTATAAGGTTTGCCAAATGATCTCTGAGAAAATGTGATATCATTCATATGCATTGCCAAGCTGGAGAGATGCCGTGCATCTTGGCAGCCATCTAGAGCTAACATATAATTCCTTTGGGTTGGTATGGGCTTTATCAGAAACAGCTCCATATGCAGTATTTACATAACTGTGGTGGAGTGTGAGAATAAACACAGCTGTGGCATTGCCCTAAATATTTCAATTCAGTGGGGAATTAAGGGAACTTTATCACTGAACTGCAGATAAACAGAAGTCAGTAAAGCGGTGGTCAGTTTAACCAAGGAACAAATCAAAGCTACAATGGCTGAACTGCTGGAAACATTTAAGTGCTTTAGTGTTGGAGTTTACTAAGGTCACTGGTATTTTTTTGCTTTTCAAAAAATATGGAAGTGCCACCAGTCAGCTGTTACACAAAAAGCATCATCCAAATGGACTGGTGAATCAAAGCAGCGTAGCCGGAAAGGCAGAAAAGGGAAGAGTTTATAGGGATGCAGCACTTTCCACATCTGATTGCGGTCGGAACCCATGGGTTTTCCGTGAAGATTGTAAGTTTCTGTTAGTATCTCAATCCCGATTGACTGCAGAGATGGAAGTCCTGGATCTTCAGCAGAAATCTGTAAGCCTGGCTTCTTAAAGACAGTTTAGTGCCCAGATCTTACAGCAGATGATAGCCAGTAGCAGAGTTCAGGCAGCTAAAGATGTAGACTTTTGTCCTTATAATATGAATAAAAAAGGTACCTTACCTAGCAGCTGGCACAGGAACGACGCTTGCAGATGTATTCCTTGGGCTGGGCCAGCGCGGTGGATAAAAGGATTCAGTTTCAGGGCTGTCAGTGCAGCATTTATTCCCATTTTGAACTCACTTTTGAGAAGTGTAGCAGTATTGTCCAATCTTCCCATCACTCAGCTGAGGGAACGAGGTAGACTTTCTGCAGTCGTTAGTGCATCACCGTCAAACTTTGATGACTGACAAGCAGCCCCCAAAATAGCCTCATTAGAAGTCACTGAGGCATGATATTTTAAGAGTATTTTTGCAAGCAGGGCTCAGTATGTGTGTTTCCATATGTATACTAGAATATATATATTAATATCGCAGTAGAATATATATGTATTAGAATATACATAGTTTAGAACCCCTTAAACAGAATTGTTAAGAGGTAACTAAATGTTCATTGTTTTAGGAGTCAAAACTCTTGTAGAAATACTCAAATAGTCACCGTCAAGAGAAATACACTTTGATGAAGGCCCAAGTAGCAAAATACCTGTTTGTATGTTAACCCACTTGCTTTAAGTAAGAATTTAAGTATATTCTAATTTGGAGGGAAAAGAGTTGCCATTGGGAAACTCTTTCAGTTCTAGATAATTTACGTTTAAACCAAAGCCTGCTACAACTCTAACTTAAAAAGAAATGACACAAGTTTGCTGCTGTTCCTTTGCAGTTGAAAAAGCAGCACGTTCTTCTGTGTCTTTATAGTCCTCGTTCAGTGCTTTGTTTACCACATGATACACAGTCACTTTGGTGGTGGGAGTTCCCTTACAGAAACCACAGGCTTTGTAAAGAGCAGTGTTTCACACAACCCATATGGTGCATTAACATTTTTCAAAACCAGCACAATACTGCTGTGCTGTCCAAATATTTGTTTTCTCTTTAAAAAAGGTATAAAAATGGGATTTAGAGTGCAGAAAATATTGAGTGCTGCTCCTGGCTTGTTCCCTGCCTCATCTGGGCTATGCACCTTTCCAGTTTTTGGGTGGTGAAACAAGGATGCTGTCATTGACCTCATTCATAAAATGCTATGAGATCTCCTGCCAAAAAGTGCTCTGTAAGTAATTAGCCACATTTCACTGATAACAGAATGTACTTTGAAAATCCAAGCCTGTATAGTTTGTTTCCATTGATAGCTGCCTACAAAAACAAGTTGAAACTGAGGTTCACACAGCAGTGGGAGAGCAGTGTTTCTGATGGAAAGACAGACCAGGGTGTGATCATAATGATCATCAGACACAAATGTCTAAATCCTAACTTTTTCTGACAGTTCAGAAAAAATCAGTGTGATTAGGAATGTGCCTATCTACAAACATAGTTTTCTTATTCACCAGACCTGCATCATCTGACAAGGAATTTTCCTTTCGATAGCTGAGATTGAATCCTTGGTGCATCCTGGAGCGGCTAAATAAGAACCTTTATTTTCAGCCAGTACTGAGCTCCAGCAGCTTTACCGAGGAAACATGCGTTATTTTGTTGGCTCAGCGCTTTCTGAAAAATCAACCCACTTTTTAAGCTATCCAAACAGTGATTTAGGACGCTGAACAGTCCAGCTGCTGAGTTTGGAAAATCATGACCTTTTCTATCTTTAGAGCGGTGTCTACATGGAGACCTCCCCTTCTCAAAATGGACAAACATGAGACCAGCGGTTCTCGCTCTCTCAGCCCCAGAGAGCTGCACAGATCAAATCACCCTCTGTTCTGGATTCTGATCTGGTTTAACCAATTAATTAAAACCTCTTAATTGTTAGTTAAGCTCCAAACTGCAGGATTTTGTAATTGCATAACAAATATTTGCATTACAATACTGTCTTGTACCTCAACCTGGATAAATTCCACTGAACTAATTACTTTTCTGCTACAGAAAGGAGTCGTTGTGTGCCCCAGAGATAGGGCAGCAATATGCAGGACAGAAGTACGTGCTTAGGCTCAGATCTCAGGTCAAATTTGTGTGGGTAATGTTCAGGGACAGTAACTGTATGTGTATAATGAAAAAACACAAATGTGATACAGAGTTGAGTGACAGGCAATGACCAGGGCTTGGTTTTATAATCACTACATAAGGATAAACCAGACTATTACGTAGTGGGTTATTTAACAAATGTTCAAGTAAAAGTGGCCCACAAGGCTATAAAGAGCACACAAAGCCCCTCTAATAACTAATAACTTCACTGAGAACAGAGCTGAAATAGCTGCAGCTGCCTCTCCAAGCATTTTTGTCGTTGTTGTTACCAAAGGTGTTGGCACAGGTCCCTTAACCACGATGGACAGGATTCATTTTCCTGGAAACTGTGTTCACCTGTGCGTTTCAACAACAGTGGTGGTGGGGAAGCCCACAGGATGGTCTAGTAAGCATGTTTTGGGGGAAAAAAACCTGTAAAATATGCCTGCTAGTAGCAATGACACGGCTATGCTGCCGCTGTCAGCAGGATCTAAATGGAGCACTGAGGACACCGGTAACTCCTGGAGAAGGCCAGTTGCGGTGGGCTTCTGATTATGCTTAGTGGTGTCACTGAAACCACAGCACAATCCTAAGAAAACTCCTCCATTTGGGATGAGGGTGGTTTTCATTTAGCTCTGTCCGTGTGAAATAAGCACATTGAGAAACTCTGGGCGTGCTGTGATATCCAGCTAAAGAAGGCAGCAGCTTATCCCTGGCTTCTCCGCAGTCATCTCCCGGGCAGTTCTGGGTAGTTGTCCTGTTGGGGATGTTCGTGGGTGAATGCTCCTCTTGCCTTTCTGTTTGAAACTCCTGTTGACGTGCTAAGTGTGGGGTTGCATCAGCATTGGCAAATCCCCTTCTCAGGGGTTTTCCTGTAATGCCAGTACAGACCTGGCTTTGGTTAAGATGATCCTACTCTATTCAGGTGTTTTAAAGGTAAGTTTTTAGTGTTAGGTCTTGGTATTAGTACCCTTCTTTTTAACTAATTGGTAACACTAAGTGAGGTAATAAATTTAGCAGCCTAACAGTATCTGAGTGAACATAATGTTTTTCCCCCCCCATTTTTCTAGACTTATTGAAGTCCATTCACCTGATGCCAAGCACACCGTGGTGCTCAGGAGTAAGGATTCGGCTACAGCCCAGGCCTGGTTCAATGCCATCCACTCCAGTGTCAATGAGCTCATCCCCAGGGTGATTGCAGAGGTCAGAGACCAGCTGGGTAAAACAGGGATTGCTGGAAGTCGAGAGATTAGGCATCTAGGCTGGCTTGCAGAAAAGGTAATGAAAACATTCTTATTCTCATTTCTAAGCTCTCTCTTTCTCACTTGCTCTTTGTTCCTGAATTCAGCCTTGTCTGGAAGTGGAGAGGCTAAATGAGGTTCTGGGTTTTCATTTAGCTTTCCATGAAGATCTTTCTTTTCTTAACGTGCCGATTTTTTTTGCTTTTAAAAAAAACCCCAAAAAACTAGAAGGTCCCTCGAGTCTTTGCTTCTGTATGCCAATTAGCAAAGACTTTCCTGGGAGATGAAAAGTCTCCTGATCTGTCAAGTTCAGGCATGGGACATGAGTCACAAAAACTGACACCAGCCTCGAGCTCCCCTGCTGTTACGTCTCCTGTTCACCTGTATGAGATGTCACCTTCCTTCTCCCAGCCTAGGAAGTAACCGGTTACTTGGTCCGTGGCCCACCCCTCCGCTGTGCCCGGCCTCAGGAGTTGGGCATGGTCTGGAGCACGAGGTGGTGTCCCCGCTGCGCCAGGGAGCTTGGAGCTTGTTCTTTCATTGTAACCCTGTGTTTGAGCTGATCTTTGTAGAAGGCCAGGCTTGCAATTGCAACTCAACCCCATGTCTTGCACAGTTTGAGTCTCAAAATATTTTATGCCACAGGGGAAAGCTGGTGTTCAGTTTGAAAGTAGTTTGGGATCTTTTGACCTGTGGAAAGCCAACCCATGAGTATACAGGGATGGTATCAGTATGACATGATCTGTTTTTAAATCAGTAGTCTCAGAATTTGTTTCAGGCACTGTACCAACTGATAAATGAGGATTTGCTACAGTAACAGCATTAGGATTGTGCCTGCAAATACCTTCCATCCAGCTATTGCCTGGGCAGCTGTTCAGAGCATCTCTGCCTCTCCAGCTGCGGTGCATGGAAAAAGGGCCACTGTGTACACACTGCCCTTTCAACCTATCCATCCAGCACAAGTGTGGAAAGCTGACTGCGATTGCCCTAAAAAAAAATACTGTACATTTTAGCTTTTTAGCTTTTGTAGATGAAAATATGGGAGCCATAGGCGCAGGTGCCATATTTCTGGGTCTGTCCACACCACCTGAAGCAAAGCGAAGATTGTAAAAAACCTTTGAGGCAGATTTGTGTGTTTTCCTGTCCCTCCCTCCAAGCTTGCAGTGGGGAGGACAACACAACTCTGTGGCTTAGTACTGTAGAAAATGTAAAAATATGGGGGAATAATTTGGGGTTAAAACACCAAAGAACTGGTAAGTAAATTTTAACAGTATTAAACTGTACTGCCATGGGGTCTGTAATCTTGTTTTCCCTCTTGTATCCACTTCTGTAAACTTACGAAAAGCTGAATATAGAGGCTTTTTCTGTTACAAAATACTCTCCTCTGAAAGGGTAACTGCTCTGTACCAGATCATATAGACCGTATATGTAAAACATTCACAGGTCATTTTAAGTGGACACATGGCATGCTTCTGGTTTATGAAATTCTTCTCCTTACATGTAATAAACAAAAACCCGTTCACAAGCTTCTTTCTCCTCTTTTTTTTTTTTTTTTGCCTTATGGACTGAGATCTTATTTCATGTTACTCATTATGGACCGGTTCAAGGTCCTTCTGAACTTAGTGGTGAAACTTGGGTTGCCTTTAATAGGGCCAGGCTGCGGCTCTGTGCACGTTGCAGTGTATTTACAGTGGCTGTCATCAAGAATTAGCCTTGAGAGATTTGCAGTGACATTGTTACCCAAAAGTCAACATATTTTTTTCACTAAACTAACCCTCCAGAGCTGTGCAATAGTAACGGAGTGAGGTCAAAAGTTCCCAGCTTCTTCTCATGTTGGAGATCAGTTGAAAAGTAGAGAAAATCACTACATATGGTAAAAAGTGATGTGAAATCGCTTTTATTTTGTAACTGGACTGTGGGCTGTAAAGCCTGGGTGAAAGAAAGATAACCTGAAGCGTGGGAGAGGAAGGTATATATACTGTACATGTATATGCAAACTGAATATACAGTGTTTCAGAGGAGGTGTTCAAGGCAGCCAGGAGACGTGCTGACCACGGGGGATTTCCTAGATGCTCCTTGTACAAAACCTGTGTTTGCCTGTGTGGAGATTAAATTCTGTAGTGATTTTTGGAAGCACACCGGGAATACCAGCTTTCTTCTCCTGGGGTGAACTGCCCTACCACATCCACTGCTGGTTGGTTTCTAAACGTTGGAGTTTAGAAAGGGACCTCATTATTAGTAGCCACAAAATAAAACACGTGCCTTATATTCCTCCTAACATCAACATTATTTTTTTTTCTCTGTGATATTTTGTGGTATATTTTGCTATTTTTCCATGGACTGCAACAGGAAGAAATCTGAACTCTATTTTGAAAAGCATCTTAGACTGTAACTTTTAAGACAGCTTTAACGGGATTGCATTATGTTACTTACATAGCATATCCTTACAGTGAATTCTCAGCAAAAGGGAACAACACTAAGTGAGATGAATTCCTCTCCTTGTTTGGGAAATGCAAAATGTAATCCCATAGAAATTTCACTGTAATTTGCTGTGATTACTCTCTGCTTTCATTAAGCTATTTCCTGGTTTGACATTTTTTATATGTCTCTGCTCTAAACTTAGCTCTAAACTTCAACCTTTATGGTACTACAAAAATAGATTCATTAGCGGAGCCTCCCTCAGGTGGGTAACATTAAAATAAATAGTAGGTTATCTAAGGTACTATGCAATTGCACACTAACAGGATTCTTCCACTTTCACTGAACTACCCTGTGAAGACAGCCCTAGATTTGTGGTCTTCAGCATGAATCATCCATCTGGCAGGTCCACCATCAGGTCCCTGGCTGTGCCCCAGGGTGGGCTGTGAGGGTCCGTCAGCAGGCAAAGCAAAGAGCTCTGCATCACTTTAAGGAAGTTTGCTCTGCATCACTTTAAGAAAGCAAACAATCACTGTGGCATTATTATAGGTAAGGAGAAAAACAGCCAGAAGCAATCATTAGAGATGCCATATTCCCTCTTTTATTAAGGCACTAACCTTGTCCTGACCTTGGCCTTATGGCAAGGGTTTCTGAAGCTGGCCAAGGATTAGGGAGTTTTATTAGTCACCAGCGTCCTACAACTTTTCCGTAACTAAGAGAAATGTCAAGTACGTGCGTGTGCTCTCCATCACCTTTTCTTTCTTGTATTTGTCTTTTCACTTCAGCAAGACCTGTGGGATTAATGAGCGTGGTAAGCAGGAGGGAACAGCTACATGTGGGTTTTAATCTTTCCAGATCTTTCCTATTTTTAAAGCTTCCTGTAAAGATAGTTTTAGTGACCAAAGACAAAAAAAGAAGTTAGTAATGTCATCCTAACTGAGGAACTTTTCCATGTATGTGTTAATTGCCCCTCTTCTTTCCAGGAATCTTTTCAATCCTTGTAGGAATGTCTTTTCCACCTCTCTTTTTCCTCAGTTTTTTATTGTTCTGCACATCCCGTGGCTTAAAGAGGAACTGAAACAGGCATTGCTGCTTTCCTCCTCCCGCTTATCCACCCACCGTTGAGTTCCTTTGTGAGGAACAAATTTGGCTCTTGCACTGGAGAGCTAAAACACTGAAGAAATGGTAGTTTATTTTATCATAGAATCATAGAATCATTAAGGTTGGAAAAGACCTCTAAGATCATCAAGTCCAACCGTCAACTTCATAATCACTTCATAACATCCGTTCCAATAGACCAAGATATCATTGGCAAAAGCTTTATCTACATTTTTGCCTCTAGTGCAAACACAAGAAGGTGTTCTGGCAAAAGTGGTTTTGCAAAGGTAGCTTTTGCCAATTCAGCAGTTGGCCACGCAAGCAAAAGCATGACTGGGTTCAGGGGAAGCTGAGGCTGTAGCCAGGCACCAGCCTTGTAGCTCTGTCAGTTAAAAACAACAACCTAAATGAAACCCCGAGCTCTGCGTCTCTCCCTGTGCTCGCTGTGCCAGTCATACTTTCGATGTAGGCTTGGAAGAAAGAAAAAGTGCTTCTGTAGACGGAGACTGTTCTCCTTTCTGGATGTCAAATGTCTTACAGGCAGTGGGCTTCTCGAAATGATCTCAAAGCTCCTTTGAGAAACTTAAAAATAGGAGTTGTTGCAAGTTGTCTTTTATAATGTTAATATTTGAAGGTGCAGAAAAAGTGCCTTTCTGGGCTTTTCTCGTTAGATCTTAACCCCAGCGCTTGGTTCCTGCTCACGCTGCTCTGCCTGCGCAGGGCAAGTCGCTGCTCCACAAATCTGGTGTGGGGATCAGAGCGGAGAAAACGCCCCATATTGGAGGGGAAATAACTGAAGCAGCACGGTGAATTGGAGTTGTTTTTCAGCTCCTGACACTATCTCCAAAATGAAAAGTGTGTTAATATATTACGGGCTGTTCAGTCTCCTCAAACCTTAGATAACCGTATCATTGTGTTAGAGCTGAAGCGCGAGGCATGTCACAGCAGAGTGATCTTCTTCGGTATCGCACCGTGTATTGCAGTATTATATTTATCTTCCTGCTCTCGCTCTAATTCAGAGGAGGGAGTGATAACAGCAAGATTGTGAGCCCTGCAAGCTGTCCAAACAAGATTTAGGCAAATGACATGAGAGTGTATTTGAGGTTTTTTTTTCCCCAGTATGAAATGAAAATGTTTCTGTTTTACCATTTCCTTTGGAAGTATGTTCACTGGTTAGCAAAACAAGTAGACAGTAACAGAGCTACATCGTTATTCTCATCACAGATAAATGAGTTTTCAAAGAACGGGAGAGAAGCTTCAGTCTTAAAATTTTTTATAATTTCCAAATTGTAAAAGTGAGCTTAAAATGTCTTTGCACAAGAAAACCACCAGCCCATCACATAGTTAAAACATTTTAACCTTTGTTTAACATTGTGATTTTAACCACCTTCCCGCAAAGCACAGCAAATGCTAGGCAGCTTTTTCAAAACCCTGGCATGGCCGTGGCCGTGGCTGGGGCTGCCACCATCCCCCTCAGCTCCCCCAGCTCTTCCGTCGCGGTGGTGGCAGTGCTCATCTGAC